GGAGGTGGGCTGTTTAGAAATCCTGGAATCCAAACAACAGGTAGTAGGGGGAGGGGTAATCCCTTGTGGAGTCCAACAGGATTAAGGAGAGGCAGTTGACATTTGGGTGGGTGGACCCAGTCCCTAGCCCTAGCACCTTTGATCCATGTTTGAGGTTTGGCATCCTACTGTCCCCTGTGGGGTCCATGGCCCCAACCTAAGGTGGAGACAGCAGTCTCCCACCCTCCCTGGCCTTTAAGGACCCATGTGGTCAAGTTCAGGCAGGCCCATGGCTGCCGGGAGCTGTTTATTTTGGGTTAGCAGCGGGTCCAGTGCTCCAGCTATATTTACCTAATTAAGCTGCAGGCAATTTGATCTCTGGGACTCTTGGGGCCCTGACAGGCAAGGGCTAGATTGTGGGAGGCCCCCTGTCTTGTCTGTTTTCCCAATTCCATGAGGTCCTACTGTGGGGAGGTGCTCCAAGCCAGTGGGAAGTTTTACTGGGAGAAGCTTTTATTCCTACGAGTGTTTTTCCTCCAGGGCCCACGATAGAGCTTCCTGCTCACCAGGACCCTTCTCTTCCAGTAGCACTGAGTGTGGTCCCATAGGTGCCTTGGTTGGAGTTCCAGCAATAGGAGGGTCCTGCAGGGGAACAACGTTCCTTCTGGAATGCAGTGACGGACTAGAGGTACCAGCTGTACAGGTTCAGCACGGCTGCCCATACAATTGTGTTTTCTAGCCCTGGCCTCTGTGAGTGTGACAATTGTTGGGAGACAGTCCCTCTGAGATGGCAAGCTGACGAGGTCTTGTTTGGGGCACCCAGGCTCCTGGTTCCCAGGGTTGGAGCTGGGGCAGACTCGACTGAGTTGGTGGTACATACCTCTCGCCCTACCAGTAGACCAGAACATGGTCAGGTGGACCCAGCTCTCAACAGCTGAAGCTGAGGGCACCCAGAGGCCATTTCTCTTCCACTCACTTATTAACTGATGTGTATCAGAGAGTACCAGTACTATGGCAGTGTGAAATAAATACTGAACTGCTAACCCTAAAGGCCAGTGGTTCAAGCCTACCAGTCTCTCCATGGGAGATAGATGAGGCTTTCTGCTCCTGCCAAGATTTACAGCCTTGGAAACCTTATATACAGGGGGGCTTTGAGTCAGAACTAACTGAATGAGCTTACCAACAACAGACCTCGTGTTCTAAATACTTTACAGTCAGGTCTCATTTCATCTCCACAGTGACCATTTGGGGGAGCAGTTCTCATACCCTCGTGTTATACAAGCCTTAGAACCAATTCAAAGCCAGGCTCCCCAGCCAACAACAGTACGACCCTTAGATGGGCAGCTGACCTCACCTCTCTGAGTCTGTTTCTTCCTTTGCAAAATAATAATGTTGATGGTAATAATAATTGTTAATACTTGTTTTAATTTATTATATGCCAGGCCTTGTTCTAAGGCAGGGGTGGGGAACCTTTTTTCTTGCCAAGGGTCCATTTGGATATTTAGAACGTCATTCGAGGGCCACACAAAATGATCAGCTTAAAAACTAGCCTGCTGTATTTGGATAGGAGTCTTGGTGTGGCACTGTGGGCTAAACCATCAGACTGCAAAGTTGTTTGAACTGCAAGGTCGGTGGTTCAAGCTCACCAGCTGCTCCTTGGAAACCCTATACAGGGGTCGCTGTGGGTTGGAATCGACTCGTTGGCACTTAACAACAACAACATATTTGGTTAGCTGGAACTGCGGATGACTTGACAGAGCCAGCTCTAATGATTTTGCAGGTGTTTACGTGACCCACAGACTGGACGTTCCCCACCCCTATTCTAGTGCCTGATATTCATAAACTCATTTATTCCTTGTATCAACTCTAAGTGTCCCCATTTTATAGAGAGGTAGACTGACACAGAGAGTTGACAGCGGCCAAGGTGCTGGACTCTGTCTGGGTCTGAGCTCTTAATGGCAGTGTAGGGGAGAGAGGGGCTGTATCCATTGAGGCCCCAGGTAAGGATGTCACTTGTATGTGTCCCCTGTGGCCAGCTCAGGGTGAGACCTACCTAATGGATCTGGAATCAGCCAAGAATCAGCCTCTCCTACATGTCCCTTCTGGGTTTCAGCTTAAGGGGCAGTGAGCCAAAACAGGAAGAGGAAGTGCTAGCGGGGGCTAGGGAGGGGCACTGGTAGGAGGTGCTTACTACTGGAGGGGGCTCTGTCGTTCCAGGTATGGTTAGGTCTGGGGCCGCAAGCAGGGTGCCCTTGGTACCCTGGACTCACTGTGCAGGGTGGCAAGCTTGGAAGCAAGTACTGAGTGCCTGGCACCACTCGGTGCCCTGATCCTCATGTACGGAGAATTCTAGGGCTTGGCTTCAGGCAGCCAACACTGGTAAAAAGCCTATGGCCCTGCCCCAAATTTATATGAGCTTGTAACATTTTGTAAACTCTGGGGTTGAAAAGGACATACAATCTCAGTTCTGGGAATTCGCAAAAGCCTGCGAATGAAGGGGGTAGGGTGTATTTGAAAAGTCCAATAAAAAAGACACCTAGATGTCTAAAGGAGCTTGGTCCTCCCCTGTACCTGAGCCCTGTGGTGCAGCAATTAAATGAACCACTCCACTCTAACCAGAAGGTTGGTGGTTCGAACCCACCAGCTGCTCTGTGGGAGAAAAAATATGGCAGTCAGGTTTCATAAGATTTACAGCCTTGGGACCCTTGTGGGCAGTTTTTTTTTCTTGTCCTGTAGGGTTGCTATGAGCCATAATCAACTGAACAACATTTATTGTAAAGGAATCTGACCCCAAATCCCTTCTAGCTGTGCCCTTTTCTGTGTTGCACCCCCTGACTTATAGAGGAAGCCTGGGAGGCCCAGAGGCAGGATCTTGACTAAGGGCACATGGTGAGCAGGGTTGGTCCAGAACCAAAACCAAGGACTGAAGATTAGGTCCTGATGCTTTCCCAGCCCAAGCATACCCCTCGGGCAGGTGGGTAAGAAAGCCCTAGGAGAAGGATGTGTTGAGATGGTGGATGGTGGGTTTATGAATGACGTTTCTAAACTGAATAATAAGAAAATTCACTTTTATCAAGGGTTTCCTGGGTACCTGGTGCTGAGTATGTTACATGGATTAACTTACTTAATCCTCTCAACAACTTGGTGAAGTATGTACCCATTTTACAGATGAGGAAACTGAGGCACAAGAAGGCGAAATCACTTGGCTCTTGTCACACAAGCTGCAAAGGGAAGAAAGCTACAGTTTGAAAGCAAACAGCCTTGCTCCAGAGCCTGTGCACCTAGCCACCGCCTTACATTGCTTTTCCAGGCCTTATGAAGGGTGCAGGGGACAAGAAAGGAAAGGATTTGGAGGGGCCCACACTCCTTTCCGGTAGCATAGTGGTTATGAATCAGGCTGTAAGCTGCAAGGTCAGCAGTTAAAAACTACCAGCTGTTCAGCGGGAGAAAGATGAGGCTTTCTGCTTCCGTAAAGACTTACGGCCTCGGAAACCCTGTACAGGTTCACTATGAGTTGGAACCGACTCCATGGCACACCACCACCACCACCACACTGATTTATAACAAGGCCAAGCCTTTTACAGGCCAAAGGAGAGCTGAAGGGATAGAAAGGAGCCACCCCTCTTAACAGCTTGCCTCTGGGTCATTTTCAGTATGAGACTTGCCTGAGCCAGGAGTGCACAGATCACTTCACTCTGACTCTTAATGTCCCCCCATGTGTGTCAGAGTAGAATTGTGTTTTCTATGGCTTGTTTTTGGGAAGTAAATTGCCAAGCCTTTCTTTCGTTCCACTTCTGGGAGGATGCATACCTCAGACCTGTCAAGGAACGGCTGAGTCTGCAAACATTTGCACATAAATAGCAAACAAATTCTAAAGAGCATCTACCCTTGATAGTTGAGAGCATTCTGTAGTCCAGTGGTAGACTCCTCACCTTCCATGCGGGAGACCTGGGTTTGATTTCCAGCCAGCGCACGTCATTCGCAGATTTCAGCAGAGCTTTCAAAGTTTAATGAATAAGGAAAAAAGGCCTCAAGACCTGCTTCCAAAAAGCAGTCAGTGAAAACTCTGTGGATCATAACAATCCAATCCTGGTGTGCATTGGGTGTGGGGGGGTTATGCGGGGGGAGACACACTCAATGGCAGCTGACAACCATCACCACCCTTAGTGGTGGTATCAGCATCAGGTGACGAGGCCTCTTCAGTCCCCGCTTCAGTGGGCAGACCTGGCCACTTGCCCATCGCCCATTGCTCCCTGCCCAGATCTGATAAACTGTCTGCTTTGCATGTGGGTGATTTGCAAGGCCCAGATGAGAAGCAGCGGGTGGTGGGCTTGGAGATGCCCTTGATGACCCCAGAGCCTCAAGTGTCCCAAGAACTGGAGGGCAGCTGGTGCGTCAGCTCGCAAGCTGGGAGCCCAGAGCTGGTGCTGGTAGGAAACAGCCTCGGGGCTTGCTGGCTGCAGCTCTTAGCCACATCTTCTGGGAAGCCTCTCATTTCCTGGTCCATCTGTGCACTGTGTTCTCTGGAAAGACCTGGGGCCCTCATCTCTCCAAGCGGTATTGTCCTTGTCCCCACAGTAGGGCATTAAGGAGAAGCCACGGGTGGGGACTGATTTTTAATCCCTGGCTGGGTGGTCGGTCATCTGAGTAGTTTCCATTTAGGAGGTGTTTACCAGGTGCTAGAAGCTCTCCTTAAATTGTTTAATGGTTATATCCCCATTTCCCCAGTTGCAAAATGGAGGCTCAGAGAGGTTCAATGATTTCCCCAAGGACGCACAACTAATCAGTGGCAGGGCTGAGATTCAAATCCAGGCAGCCCACTTTCTTCAGCAGTACTGCTAGGTCTTAGTGTCCCCATTATGCAGATGCAGAGTAGAGACACTGAACGGATAAATGATTTGCCCAGGTTCCTGGAGATTAATGGGCGCAAAACCAGAATTTTGAACTGGTCCCTGTCACTCTGTCCCAGTGGCTGGGCCATGGCTGTTCGGCACTCACCCTGCTTGTCCTGACCCCCACAGGTGGCGATGGTGGAAGTCCAGCTGGATGTTGAGCATGACTACCCGCCAGGCCTGCTCATAGCCTTCAGCGCCTGCACCACCGTACTGGTGGCCGTGCACCTGTTTGCACTCATGATCAGCACCTGCATCCTGCCCAACATTGAGGCTGTGAGCAACGTGCACAACCTCAACTCAGTTAAGGAATCACCCCACGAGCGCATGCACCGCCACATCGAGCTGGCCTGGGCGTTTTCCACCGTCATTGGGACGCTGCTCTTCCTGGCTGAGGTCGTTCTGCTCTGCTGGGTCAAGTTCCTGCCCCTCAAGAAGCAGCCAGGCCAGCCACGGCCCACCAGCAAGCCTTCAGTCGCTGGGGTTCTCAACAACGCCAGTGGCATCACCCCAGGCCAGGCAGCCGCCATTGCCTCCACCACCATCATGGTCCCCTTCGGCCTGGTCTTCATTGTCTTTGCTGTCCACTTCTACCGCTCACTGGTCAGCCACAAGACAGACCGGCAGTTCCAGGAGCTCAATGAGTTGGCTGAGTTTGCACGCCTGCAGGACCAGCTGGACCACAGAGGGGACCACCCCCTGACACCCGGTAGCCATTATGCCTGAGCCCTTGGGGGCCTGGGCAGTTCGGAGCTTTGGCCTGAGCGCCCCTTTCCCATGGCCTTGTCCTGCCCCTGCCTCAGGAGCAGTTTGTACAGGGGGCTGGGCTCCCATCCAGCGGGCAGAGAGTGGAGGCAAGAGGGTTTTTATGAGAAATGACTGCATTTTGAAACTTGCCTCCAGACCCAACTTCACCTGCTGGGAGGCGAAGGGGGCTGGAGTGGGGACAGACTTGCCCTTTGTCCCTTCCTGTCATGTGCCAAGGCCACCTGGATACTCCCAGACCTTTCTGGTATCGAGTGTGTGCGTGTGTGTGTGAACACAGAAATATACTTGGAAGAAACAGCTGCCGCTCCTGGTGTCTGTCCGTGTCTGTCGGGTCCAGGCTGCTGCTGTCACCAGCTGAGCCCCTAAGCAGAGTTCTGTGTTGGTTTTCTGTCGTTTCTTTCAGGAGTTCACTTTGAGAGATGTTAAGCCTACTGAAAAGTCACCAGAATAGCCAGTGAAACATGTCGTTCCCTGACTGCACATTTTAGTTACAGATAGCACAAACCTTCATGTCTCTCAGTAAAATCCCAAACCAAACAGGCGAGAGTCGATGCCGAATCATAGGGACCCTGTAGATGTAGGAAAGAGCAAAACTACCCCATCGGGTTTCCAAGGCCACTTCCTTCTCCTGCAGAGTGACTGATGAGTTCAAAACACCCGTCTTTCCGTTAGTGGTCACATGCTTAACCTCTGTGCCACTAGGGCTCCTTCTGAAAAACAAGAAATGTCTTATATAACCAGGGGTTAATGATCAAATTCCACACATTTAACACAAAATACTGTTGTATCTGTGTCCAGATATCCTACTTGTTTCCATAATGTTCTTCCCAGCAATGATTTTCCCAGTCCAAGATTTTATTGAGCTTTTGTCTTCCATAGCAACTTTTTTTGAAGAGTCCAGGCCAGTAGCTTTGTAGACTGCCATCTCCATCAGGTTCAGCAGTGGAGCAGGAATATTATGTAAGTGACCTTGTGTCCAGCTCATTTAAAATCAAGACCAAAATAGTAGCCACTGATGTGTCCGGATACTGTTCTCAGCACTATGCAACATTGTTCTTATGAGGTGGGTACTGTTGTCCCCATTTTACAGATAGTGCAACTGATGCCCAAAGAGGACAAGTAGCATTCATTCCAGGATTCAAACCTGGGACATCTGATTTAGAAACTGCACAATAACAATCCTCCTAGGCTAATCCAGGTTGGCTGGAAAAATTGCGAAATCCAGCAGCATGGTGTTCCTCCTCTTTCAGAGCAAAAGTGAAAAGTAAGTAAGTAGCAGCCACCACCTTCCACATGTTTGCCAGTCCTCACCATTCCTTCCTGTCTAACACTTTCTCGCCTGGTCCCATGGAACCTTGAGTTTGAGGCCTGTCTGCTCCAAGTAGATTTTAAAAAGCCAAGTGCTTACAGCTGAGTTGCGAATGGGGTATAGACAAGCCTAGCATTTGTGTCCCGTCCACTGTTCTCCGAGATATTTGCACAGGACCCAAGTCTTCCTGAACAGTTTGGGAAGTGTGGACTTAAATTCTTGCCTTCCTGTGCAGAGTGGGATGGGCATTGCTCTCCCCCTGCCGAAGCTTCACCTATATATAACACACACGTAGGAACGTACCCCTCCCATCCCCATGTACCCTTTGGGTGGAAGGGCTGAGTAGGAGAAAGTAGGGAGTCCCACATGAAGCCTTCACTTCTCCCCAGAGAAGACCTGGGAGGCTCTCTCTTCCATTCTCACAGAGTTCATCCTGGACTCCAACGTGGCAGTCTGAAATTTCTCTCAACTGGTCTGGACTCAAGAATCATCAGCTTGGCTTGTAAAAATGCAGATTTTGAAGCCCTTCCGCTGCAGGTGAAGTCAAGTTGGACTGGGCATGTCCCCAGATACTCTTACACCCGGGCAACTTGGGAAACAATGGTGGTTCAAAACACAGTCTCTTTCATTTCAGTTTAATTTCATGTTGGGTAGATAACATGCAAACGGTTCCAAATACAACAGTGAAAAGTCCTCTCCCTCCCCAGAGACAACCAGTGATTGTTACTAGTGTACTGTTGAGAAATGTTCTATGTAAAGAAGTGCATCCTACGCACAACATGTGGTTTCTATATAGTGGCTGCCTTCTCAATACATTGATCAGCACCTAGGCCCAAATATGGCGGCAGACACTCTAGCTTGGTGACTTGTGAATGTGCTAATAGCAGGTCGGGGGCCGTGGGGGACAGCCTAACAGCAGACACACGAAGTGTCTGGTAATTACTGTTAAATCTTCATTCCAGGCTTGGCAAGCTTAGCTTCCCTAGAGCCGGGCCCTGGGTCAGAACACTCCATAATTTAGGGGACAGAAAATCCAACAAATTCAACCTCACTGCTACCAAATAGGTCTCAACTGAGGAACCCTCTATAGAACAGTGCTGTTGAGAGTTTCTGAGACAATCTAAAGAATAGACGGCCTCATTGTTCTGCGGAGCAGCTGGTAGGTTTGAACTGCAGAGCTTGTAGTTAGCAGGCCAGTGCTAAGCCCATAGTGCCACTAGGGCTCCTTAACCTCAGTGTCAATCAGTGAGCAATTACGGAGTCTGTTACGTGCAGATCTTACTGGGAGCTTTAAAGACCCCAATGTCCAGTCCTGTAAAGATGGACAGCCTCGGGAACTCTAGGGAGCAGTTCTACTCTCCTGTATGGTTGTTGTGAGCCAGAATCAATTTGATGGCAGTAAGATTAATGGGTGACACCTTGGCACAATGGCTATTTTGGGCTGGGTCCTTTTTTGTGATGGGGGAGGGGTCCTGTGCTTTGTAGGATATTAGCATTGTCTCTGGCTTCTACCCACTCACTGCCAGTAGCATTTCTAAGTAGTAGCATCCAAAAATGTCTCCAGACATTGCCAAAGGTGCTCCAGAAAAGGGGCAAAACTGCCCCAGTTAGTAGGTAGCATTATTGTCTCTGTGTCACGAGAACACCTACCAAGCAGGAAGGTGGGCATTCCCAGAGCTCAGCTAATACCCCACCATTGCCAGGACTCACCCTGGCATCTGACTCCAGAGCACATGCTTTCACCATGATGCAAGGACCAGTCCCTCCTACCTCTCAGGAATGGATTCGAATCATGCAAAAGCTCTTGCCTGGGATCCAGGCCCCAGTTAACCTCAATACATATTATTCAGCATTATGACATCAGTTCTCACCAAATCTTCAAAACACCCCTGGGAGCTCTCATGAGGCCCATTTTACAGATGGGACAATCGATGTCGTGCTTCTCGACTTTGGCTCCTGAGAATTTTTGACAAAGAGCAGGCCTCACCCCAAACAGATCAAGTCAGCATCTCCCAGGGTGGAGTCTGGGTGTCCATATCTGAAGGCACCCACATGATTCCCAGGCCAAGAACCCCTGTGTTGATTGGAGATCCAGGTCAGATTTTAATCTAAGATTTTACTGGCCAAGTTCCTGTAACCAGAGGCAGGCTGTCTCCTCTCTGGGATACTCAGTGGTTAGAACTTGAGATACTGCCCTTTCTCCCCAGGTGAATCCATGATCTTCATGGGAACCTCCTCTCTCCACCACCTATAGCCCCCCTTCCGGAGCACCCCAGTCCCTGCCTCACCCCGCAGCCCCAGCTCACACCACCAGGTATTCCTTTATTCTCATGCCTCCGCATAAGCAAAGAAGGATCCAGTCCTAGGAGGAATGAGGTACTCTCTGAGGGTGCCAAGGGTGTGCCGGGAGCCACCACTCGATCCTCCAGGGTGAGCTGTACTGCTCTGGAGTTTGGTGACATGTTGACATGCTTGTATTCCTCCCCATTCAGCTCCACTCTGGTATGCTCTCTGCGGGGAGCTGGGAGGTAAGGTGAGAGGGTAAAGGGAAATTTGACATTGGTAAGGTACCCTTTCTTTACACACTTATCCCACCCAGGAGAGGCTAAGACTGGCCCAAGGACAGACCACATTACTCCAGAGCATTTGTGGGCAGGCAGAACTCTGGATTTCTAGTCCAGCACTCATTCCAGTAATCCCAGGGTAAAAACTGGAGGCTTTGGGCAGGATTGGAATGAATTGGTTTTACATGAAATGGGATATGAAAGGGAGGAACCAAAAGGGACCAGCTAGACTCCAGAAGGCATGTCAAAGACCCCAGGAGACCTGGGCCTTATTCTGGGCCCTGGTCCTGTCTCGGTCACACCAGAGGGTGGCAGAGGGCCCACATTTCACCTGACATCAGTCTTCCTCCTCTGTCTTGAACTTCCTCAAGGCTTCCTCCAGCACGATGTCAGGGTCCAGAATTTTGACCTGGGGGGAAGCAGCGAGGATGGGTTTGGGGACCATGGAAATCTGAAACTGCCAGTCTCGCTGAGGATGCCCATTCTAAGCACACAGGTTGTTTGTTCCCCGGTGGGGTGGGCTGCCCACCTTAGGAATGGGGAACTGGGTGGGTTCAGGGGCCTCATCACGGCCAAAGTCAATCAGGGTGCCACATTTGGCCACATTGTCCACCCAGAAGCCTTCAAACAGCTGACCGTGGTCCAAGTGGAAGAAGCGCCCTGGACCATTCTTCATGCCTCTCTGCCAGAAGCCCTCATAGCGGTTCCCGTCTCCTGGGGGAAAGGATGGGGGCATGGGTGCTGAGCACAGCAAACCAGACTGGATCCTCTGTCATGCCTGAGCTAGACCCTCTACTGTGTAGCCCTCCACCATCCCAGGCTGGACTTTACCCTCTGCCCTACCCAGGCTCTGCACCCTCTTCCATGCCCAGCTGAAATCTTAACACACTGCCCACACCAAGAATCTAGAAAGGAGAGCATCCAGATTGACCAGCATGGGCCGGGCTGGGTGGAGTGGAAACAACTGCGGTGTCCATCAGAAACTTCCAGAATCAGACCTGAGTCTAGTCTCACCTCCACCACTTACCTGAACTTGGGCAAGCAACTCTTTTTGTATCGTTTCCTATCTGTAAAAAAATAAATCTCAAGAAGAGGCAATGCATTCTTCAGCACTTACTTGCTGGCTCCATGCTGCGTGCCTGGCCTGGCTTAACCCTCACAAACACAAGTCCATGATGGGTTGTGGACTCCATTTGACAAATGGAACTCGAGAGTTTAACTGACTTGCTCAAGGCCACAGAGCTAGGAAGCAGCTAAGGCTGCAGAGCTGGAAACCAAAACCTGCTCATGCCAGGAATTCATGCTCTTAAGCATTAGTGATTCTACTTCTTATCTGATGGCAGTGTTGTACAACTAATATCAATAAAACTAACCCTTCACAGCTCAGACACTTACTAGCTGTGTCACCTTGGACAGGTCACCTGAATGAACATTTTGTCTCATTTCTAAAAGGGGATAACAGATCTGTGAAGATTATATCCATCAGTACAAAGAAGGACTTAATACTGGGTCAAGCAAACTTTCTCTGTATGGGGTCAGATCATTTTTTTTTTAATTTTTTGCAGGCCAAATGGTTTCTCTCTATAATTGCCAAGTGAAAGCACCAACAATGCATAAATGAGTGAGCATGCCTGTGTGCCAATAAAACTTTATTTACAAATGGGAAAGGGGTTTGCCTTTGCTGTGATGGGATTATGTTAAACTACTATCTAGTTTACAACTGTGTTTACACAGTACTGTGAATATACGAAATTGTTCTCTTTAAAAATGGCTAATTTCATGTTATGTGAAACGCATTTCTAAAGTTTTGTTTTGGGGGTTTTTTCCATCGTATTTACAAAAATAAATGTCAGGTGGGCTGAATTTGGCCAGAGGCACTATAGTTTGCCAACCTGTGCTCTATATAAATGCAAGCTAATAATATCATTGTGTACTAATCAATGTCAGGCACCGTGCTAAGCATTTTACAAATATAAATTGAACCTTTCTAATAATCCTAGAAGATACAATTTTATTTTTTTCTTTATCTTAACGGATGAGAAAAACCAAGGCATAGAGGGTTTAAGCAGATTACTCAAAACCATGCATCCAGGCAGGATTTGAAACTAACTAACTAAAAAAAACACCACCATCTAGTTGTTCTGACTTATAGTGTGCCCGTAGAGCAGAGTGGTGGTGGCCATGTGCTACTCATTGCGACCCTGTATAAGGTTTCCAAAGCTGTAAATCTTTATGGGAACAGAAAGCCTCATCTTTCTTATGGTAGATTTGAACTGCTGACCTTGCAGTTAGCTGCACAACTTGTAACCCACTATGCTACCAGAGTCCTTGTAAGGCAAAGTAGAAATGCTATGTAGGGTTTCTGAGACTGTAAATCTTTACAGGAGCTGACAGCTTCATCTCTCTCCCTCAGAACAGCTGGTGGGTTTGAACCATTGATCTAGCTGTTAGCAGCCCATTGCTTAGCCCACTGGGCCAACTAGTCCTTTTCTCCCAACATTTTAGTTATTCTCCAACATATTTTCCTGTATTCTATTCTCCTTACCATGTGACTTTGAGCAAGTGTCTTAGCCTTTCTGTGCCTCGGTTCATTTGTAAAGTGGAGATCTTATAGTATTGTTATGAGGATTAAACGAATCAGTATAACTAAAGTGCTGTTGAGCACAGTGACCCTGTATACGGATTCTTAGGAGCGGCTGGTGGGTTTGAACCAGCGACCTTTCAGTTCAAACCAACCTTCAGGTTCAGTGCTTATCCTACAGCGCCACACCAGGCTATTACTGTTACATGTTGTTGTTTGTTGTACAGCGCCGTGGAGTTGGTCCCAACTCATATCGACCCTGTACAGGGGTTTCCCAGGAGCGGCTGGTGAGTTTGAACCATTGACTTTGCAGTTCAAACCGACCTCGCGGTCCAGTGCTTTATCCTACAGCGCCACACCAGGACTTCATTACTATTATGTTGTTGTTGTTGTTGTTAAGTGCCATCGAGTCGGTTCCCACCCTTAGCAGCCACCCTGTATAGCGTTTCTGAGGAGCAGCTGGCGAGCTTGAACCGTCGACCTTGCAGTTCAAACCAACCTTACAGTCTGGCACACTAACCCACAGGAGCCACACCAGGACTCCTTTCTATTATGTGTTGTTGTTGTAGTTGTTAAGTGCCGTCGAGTCGATTCTGACCCATAGCGACCTTATATAGGGTTTCCAAGAAGTACCTGTTGAGCTTGAACCATCGACCTTACAGCTCAAGCGACTTTGCAGTCTGGCACATTAACCCACAGTGCCACACCAGGACTATTATTATGTTGTTGTTGTTGTAAAGTGCCATCAAGTCAGTTCCGACCCACAGCAAACCTGTAAGGGTTTACAAGGAGCAGCTGGTGAGCTTGAATCGCCAACCTTGCAGTTCAAATGGCATTGCAGTCTGTCGCATTAACACAGAGCGCCACACCAGGACTATTATAATTATGTTGTTGTTGTTGTTGTTATGTGCTGTGGAGTCGGTTCCGACTCATAGCGACCCTGTACAGGGGTTTCCCAGGAGCGGCTGGTGAGTTTGAACCATTGACTTTGCAGTTCAAACCGACCTCGCGGTCCAGTGCTTTATCCTACAGCGCCACACCAGGACTTCATTACTATTATGTTGTTGTTGTTGTTGTTAAGTGCCATATATGTTGTTGTTGTTAAGTGCTGTCGAGTCGGTTCCGACCCATAGCGACCCTGTACAGGGTTTCCGAGGGTGTAAATCTTTACGGGAGTAGAAAGCCTCATCTTTCTCCCGCGGAGCGGCTGGTAGTTTCAAACCGCTGACCTTCAGGTTCGCAGCCTGATTCGTAATCACTACGCTACCAGAGCTCCTTCAATTATTATGTAGGTAAGCTAAATTATGAGGAAAGTGGTGACTCCACACTGTAAGCACTGCACTGCGAACCACAGAGTTCTAGCCCACCAGCCACTCTGCGGGAGAAAGATAAGGCTTTCTGTCCTGTGATTTAAAGTCTTGGAAACCCTATCGAGGGCGCTATGAGTCGAAACCGACTCTGAAAGTACTTAACAAGAAGCTAAATTATCATTAATGAGAATTGGTGTTAATTTATGAGTCTGTTGTTAGTCTCCCCTATTAGAGAAAAAGATTCTTGAGGACAGGGATTCGGTTTTCTTATTCACCTTATTCCACTTATGTATTACGAATGACTTTGGGGAGAGGTTAGCCAAGGTGGAAGAATGGCCTCGAGGGGAGTGGCCGAACGGGAGGGGCGTGGCCAAGCGGGCCGGTTGGGCGGGGCACTCACTCAGGCGCAACATGCCCTCCCCGTGGTGTTTGTCGTTCAACCACTGGCCCTCGTAGATGTCTCCGTTGTCGTAGTACATGCGGCCCCACCCGCTGCGCTGGTTGTGACACCACTCACCCTCGTAATACTCCTTAGGTCCGAAAAACTGGATCCCATAACCCTGTAAATATAGAGGTGTCTTTGTTCGCGGCCCCCACTGACATCACTGTCCTCCCAGCACCTGAGCCTGACACTCTTCCTGGCTTCCTGCCTTGGCCCCTCATTCAAGCCGATAGTCACTCAGGCTCTTCTAGGTCCATTTCTCCCTTCCCTCCGCTACTGCCTTCCTTCAGGTCAACTGTTTTCTGTGTCTCTCCTCTTTATCTCCCTGCCTCCACTCAGTCTCCCAGATCCTTTCTCCCACGGAACAGTTGGTGGATTCGAACTGTTGATCCTTTGGTTAAAAGCTAACCACTTCTGAAAACCTGGGCTCTGCCACTTACCAGCTATGTGGCCCCAGGCAAGGCACTTCACTTCTCTGAGCTTGTTTCCTTAGCAGTAAAATGAGAATGATAACAATGCTAATCTTGCGACAATTAGAAGTATCATATATAATGTTCCAGGTTCACAATTGTAGGTTCACAACTGTAGATATTGATAAATATCTATTTATACTAATACTGACTTACTTATCTATTTATCAGTACTTAAGGTATCTGGTAGGTGCTGTAGGATAAACATTGAACTTCTAACTTCAAGGTCAGGGGTTCAAACCCACCAGCCATTACTCAGAAACCCTATAAAGAGTAGCTATGTGTTGGAATTGGAACCAACTCACAGCACTTAACAATGACAATCAATATTTAAATATATATTAGTACCCATCTTCTTGGCACATGATGGCTGGCATGGCGTGGAGTCAGTCCCGACTCATAGTGACTCTGTACAGGGTTTTCGAGACTGTAAATCTTTACGAAAGCAGAACACATTATTTGAAACAGCTAATAGTTTCAAACTGCTGACCTTGCAGTTCGCAGCCCGATTTGTAACCACTACGCTACCTTAATGGGAGCCCATTTAAGTGTATGAGAGTAGTTTGAGGAAGTCTGTCCCTAGTTTAGGTGTTTTGGGATGATGGCACGCTTCTGGTTGACTTCTACCCCTTAGGACCTCTCTCTACCCCTCCCTCTCTTTCTAAAGGCAAGGGTGGGGCCTTTACCTTCTTACCTCCACTTTTCCTACCACTCCACCCCCCTTTATCCAGGCCCAACAGAAGGGGGAATTCTCAGAAAGCGATGTTCAGGAAAAGAAAGCCAGGAAGTGAGTGGGGAAACGGGTGGGGAGACTTAGCTGCTGCTTGCAGCCAAAGTGCTTCATGGGCTCCACCCTGCTTGCTGTGTTTGCTTCCTGTTTCCTGGGTTTTGTTGAGAAGCCTTGGCAACCCATCACCCGTTCCTTCTCCCACCCACAACCCAATCCACCTCCCTCACATCCCCTGCCTTTTATTCATAGCCTCTCTGACTTACCCCCTACTCACTCACACACACACACACACACACAGCTCCTGCCCACAACCCAGGGCATGATGGGAAGCACTCACCGATTTCTTATCGCCGGTCCACCAACCCGAGTAAACTCTCTTGTACTTTCCTGTCTCTTGGTCAGGAAGGCTGAGGGTGCCATAGCCATCTCGCTTGCCAAATTTCCAGTCCCCCTCATAGATGACACCTTTCTTCTTCCAGATCTGGGTTCCTTTTCCTTGAAACACACAGATGGGCCAATGCTGCAAACATGGCTGACCACCCTGGGGTGGAGGTGGGAGTTTCTGCTGTGGCCTAAGGGGGTACCTCCTAGCTCCTGGATGAGATGATTCTCCAGGGCTGAGACAGGGTCTGTGTTCTAGAACCTTAGCACTCAGGAAAAACCCAAGAAAGTTTTATTTCTACAAACACAGTTCTCCAGCCCTGTACTGGAAAACCAGATTGATTTATAGAGGGCTTCAAACAATTCATGAAGAAATGGAATAAAATGATGGAATTGTTCTGAAATTTTTTTTGAAGCCCCCTCATAGAAAGGTTAAGTGATAGCCCAAAGATTACACAATCAGGAAGGGGCACAACTTGGCTTTGAAGCCAAGCAGTCTGATTCCAAAGTTCTTCTATGAGTGAAGTAAGTGGACTTAATAATGGATGAACATGAAGACAAGTATGTAAGCAAACAAGGAATCCCAGAGGCCTCAACCCCCCTGTTGACCATTGACTGGTGGAATGAAGCTTCCTGTCCCCATCCCTCTTCCTAAACAAAAATTTCAATCAAGAGCTGCTGGTAGGACCCAAAGATGTCAGAGGTAAAAGTCCTCCTACTTCCTTATCAGCCAGGAGCATTAACCTTCTTCCAAATGGTGGTCAACAAACAGCCAGTACGATTAAACCCTTGGTGCCTCTAGGTGGCTGGGATATGTAGGAAAGGGGGAAAAATTTTTTAAAAATCCTTGACTTCTATCCCCTAGAAATGTCTTCTTGTTGTGGGGAAGAATCCTTGACTTCTATCCCCTAGAAATGTCTTCTTGTTGTGGGGAAGATCCCAAGAGAAGGCTGTCTGCTACTTCCTCATGCTGGGGCTGGATCAGGCTTCACTACTTTCTCTAGCAATTTCTCCACCATCTGCTCTAGCAATTTCTCCACCATCTCTAGCAATTTCTCCACCATCTCCACCCCCAGCCACAGAGGGGAGCATAGGACCCAAGGCTTCTTCAATCAGAGACCTTCCCTGGGATTTTTAAAAACTTGAGCTGGTAAGGATGTGGAAAAGTTGGACACCTCATACATTTATATAAAAGAGAGTGTATGATGAAAGGAGATGGGAATAGGACTCTTGTGGTACAATAGTGAATAATTGCTATCAGGACTGACTGTGAGGGTTAGAAATGTAAAGGTAGATGTTTTGTAGCAAAAGGAGTGGTTGACATTACAGTCCAGGAACGGAGGTCGCTGGGATCATCAAAGGAGAAGAGCAGAGTGCGGGACCCTACCCAGAGAAACACTGATGCCAGAGATGGAGGCGGCAGAGACAATGATGTGGTGAGATGGAGTGGCTGGGGACTCTAGACTCAGAGAGGGAAAGGGGCTGTGTGCTGACCACCGAGGGGCAGGCTTGTAGTATATACCCTTTGGTTGGTTGATGATGCATGGAGGGGATGTAACCATGGCAATGAAATACGATAGGATGAATGTAAAGCTAATGTTCTCCCATGTAAACTATCATATAATTCACAATAAAACATTTAAAAAGAGAGAGAGTGTGTGTAAAATGGTACAGCTTCTGTGGAAAACAGTTTGACGGGTCCTTAGAAAATTCACCAGCGTTACTGTGCTGACGGATTCCAATTCATAGCGGCCTTGTGTGTAGAGTAGGCCTGCCCCGTAGAGTTTTCTAGGTTGCAAATCTTTATGGAAACAAAGAACACCAGGTCTTTTCTCCTGTGGAGAACAGCTGGTGGGGTCAAACATCTGACCTTTTTTGGTTAGCAGCGGAGCTCTTAAGCACTGTGTCACCCCGCTCTTTATGACGCAGCAATTCAACTTCTAGATAAATACCCAAGCAAGAGACTTGAGAATGAGGGGATACAGGACTCACACAGAAGTAAGGTTCAGGATGCTAGTTCAGTCGACACCTGCCTATCAGAGATGGGGAAGCCAAGAGCCAGAGAACAGAGTCATACATCTTCTCAACAGTAGAACTGGGCTCAGACCCTTGGGGTTCTGAACACTCCGGGAAATCTCTAGCCATATGCAGAGCTCAGAACACTCACACAAAGCTTCACCTTTAGATGAGTTGAGAATGGTTGTGGTGACAAATGTTAGGTGGGATCAGCTTTGACTTCTGCATCAGACTCTGAACTATGTCATCTTTTTATCCTTCTGAATAGACATTACTCCCATTTTACAGGAACTCTGGTAGCGTAGTGGTTACGAGTTAGGCTGCTAACCTCAAAGTCAGCGGTTCCACAGGAGAACGATGAGGCTTTCTGCTCCCATAAAGATTTATAGCTTTGGAAACCCTATACAGGGTCACTATGAGTCAGAACTGACTCCAGGCAAACTGTGGCTCATTTTAGTGACTTAGTCTAGGCCACAGTTAGTGGAACTGGGATTCTAACATTGGTTTATGGACTACGGAGATTTTTACTAAGCAAAGCAGAAGGAAGTGATCAAGAGCCTAGAATCTAGAACTGCAAGACTTAGCCCCCTGCTGGTCAAACCCAGAGCTCAAGTCACAGACCAGCTACTTCTGGGGCCTCCCTCACCCCCTGCTGGTCAGACCTTTGAATCAGCCATATTCAGAGCATGTTGTTGTTGTTGTCAAGTGCCTTCGAGTGGATTCCAACCCATAGCGACCCTGTATAGGGTTTCCTAGGAGCAGCTAGTGAGCTTGAACTGCCGACCTTGCAGTTCAAATGGGCTTTGTAGTCTGGTGCATTAACCCACAGCGCCACACCAGGACTCTTTGCAAGGTGATTTCTGAAGAATTTCTTCCTTCTGATGTTTACCAATACCAGACTTGGCCCAAGTCTCAATAAGTGGAGACTGAGCTGGAGTCCCCGAGCCCAGCTGTTTTCTAAGGGCCTCTAGGACTGAGTTTGGAGTTCCATGGCAGGTTCCTTGGGGAAGCCTCAGGGACCCACCTTATGTCCCCGAGGGGCTGCCACATGCTGTTCTATTGACCCTGGTGCCTATCTTGGCTCCGACCCCACTGTGCCCTCAAAGTACCCCACTCACCATGTTTCTTGTTGTCCTTCCACTCACCCATGTAGTGGTTGCCGTTGACAGAGTATATCTGGTGCCTTAGCCCGTTCTTCTGGGCCTTCCGGTCCCACTCCTTCCAGAGTGGCTGCAGTTTCTGAGGGCACTTGCTGATGGGCATGTTGGCTGCTTTGGTGGGGCCGGAAGTGCTGGCAGGGGATTGGGGACATCAGGAACCCTGTGCCTTGTATAGTATCCAGGATACTGGTGTCTGAGCTCAAGTGGCACAAGTCATGTGTGTGTTTCGAGTCCCAGGGGCAGATGAGCAGCCCTTGGTGGGGACCCTTCTTGCTGGACTGACCCTCAGCTATCCCCTCCCTTGCCTCCTCCTGGCCCCCCCCACCCATGGGTCTGATGGCACAATCACTTGGGAGCCCCAGGAAAGCAGAGGGTTTGTGATGACATCAGGAAAAAGCTGCCCATGTCGGGAGTGACAGTCACTGATTGACTAGCCTACATGGGCAACCATAGCAATGCTGACCCGGGGCTGGTATTTGGACTGGGGATCCCCCAGAGGTGGAGCCTGGGAGTGGTGAACACTGGGATCTGCTCAGGTTTCCAGGTTGTGCTGGGTCACCAGGCAGCAGGCTACTGGCACAGCCCACAGAGTCACCCTGGGCTAGTACCCAGCACTTAGCTCCCTCGGTCCTATGTCACCTGTCTGGCTAATGGGAAATTGATGTAGCCCAGAGGCTGGCTTTGCACCTGGGGGAGTTCCTAGGATCCCAGACGTTCAGTGCTAAAACAGAGACAATCCTAGGCATAGCAGGATGGTTGTCACCTACCTCTTATCTCCTGCTGAGGAGTCCCCACAAGATCAGGTTGTTCACCTAGCCCTCCTGGTGAAGCTTAGAGAGATGCTAGTGTTCCAGGGCCTGTCACCAAACTGGAAACCCACTCTGTGTCCCTCACATCCCCAGGGTCCTTCATGTCTGTCTGTCTGTCTCCAGGAGACTTGTGCAGAATGACAGGCAGTCTTCTCTATGTCCCAGAGAACCCTGCTTCCTCCCACAAATACCATCTAGCCTCCTTCTTGGGCTCGGGGGCTTCTGCACACATTCCAGGGTCATCCGCAGCAGGGGCAAAAGTCAAACTATTTTTAACCATCAGCCTGCACGGTACAATAATCAGAATGACTTCTGAGCCGAGCAGGTTCCAGGAGTGCATCCCCTCACTTGGGACTCTGATGTCACTGTTTTGAAATTCCTAATAGATGATGAACAAGGAATGCCATGTGTTCATTTTGTACCGGGCAGTACACATTAGATTGCTGGTTCTGTACCCACCCTTTAGTTGCTGGATTGTAGGGACGTCTAGGGTCCTAGAGAAGGGCTAGGGATGAAAGGGAAGACCTGGGGATCTGGGGCAGTGGTGTGGGAGGAATTTAATTCTGGCTGAATAACACAGCATTTACAAATGCCTTATAGGTCTTTCACCAAAAAACAATATAGGTGCTGTTGAATCGATTCCAACTCACGGTGGCCCCCTGTGTTTTTGAGTAGATCTGTGCTGCAGTAGCTGTGACCTTGCAGATATGGATTGCCAGGCCTTTCTTCCAAGGCACCTCTTTCTTCTAAAGGTTATATTTGAACTGTCAACCTTTCAATGAGTCACTGAGCACTTAACTATCTGCATCACTCAACCTAAATTATTCTCCAGGAATGCCTGGGTTTGAAACCCCATCAGTGTTCTCTACCCTTCACCCCCAACAGAAGCCACTACTTGTTGGCATGTAAAGGCTCTCTTCTACCACACCCAGTGCCTGGCACATAGTAGGCCCTCCACCAAGTGGCTCCTGACTCTACCCTTTTCTCTTCCTAGTCTCTCTGCCATTTTGTGCTCCTTGTCCCCAATGCCGTATCTTTTCCCCTGACCTGGGGTGGTAACATTCCACTCACCCCAGGATAAACCCTGGCTACAGCAGGGGCCTCCAGGAGTCTGGCAGCCTATACCATACTGGTTGTTCTGATTTTGATATTCATGCTAGGAAAAAGGGAAAGGATACCCCAGGAAAGAACAAAGCCTCAAGTCCTAATTAGATTCTTTTTTCCCCCCCATTCCAAGTACTATCCACTACCATGGAGGTGATTTTAACTCATAGCAACCCTATAGAATAGACTAGAACCGTCCCACAGGATTCTCAAGGCTGCAAATCTCTACAGAAGTAGACTGCTTCATCATTCTTCCTTGGAGCGGCTGTGGATTCAAACTGCTGTCCTTTTGGTTAGCAGACCAAAACTTAACCCACAGTGCAACCAGAGCACCTAATTCTAAGTACTATGAGTATTATTATTAAGCTTAATGTTTAAGTGATCTTGCTTGGCACTAAATAATGTATACTGGTGTAGCACTGGCAGAATAATGCACTGGACGTCAAGGTTGCTTTGAACCACAAGGTTGGTGGTTCAAAATCACTAGCCACTCCAATAAACTCTATGCAATATTACTATAAGTAGGACCTAATTCAAGAGAACTTAACAACAACAATTATAAGAGGAAATTTTATGTATTATTATGATGAATAGATCACCAATATCAGGTGCCCTAGGGGAGCGCAGGGAGTCCTGGTATGGCACTGTGGGTTAATGTGCCAGACTGCAAAGCTGCTTGAACTTCAAGGTCCGCGGTTCAAGCTCACCAGCTGCTCTTTGGAAACCCCTATACAGGGTCGCTATGGGTTGGAACCGACTCGGCAGCACTTAACAACAACAACATGGGAGCTCAGGGGCTCTAGAGGCTAAGTGCCAGACTGCCAACCACAATATTGTAGTTTGAGCCCATCAGAAACTCTACAGGAGAAAGATGATGCTTTCTGCTTCTGCAAAGATTTTCCAGCTTTGGGAACCTTATACAGGGTCGCTATGAGTCAGAAGTGACACCGCAATGCTAACAAGAAGAAAGGGAAAGTCAATAGTAAAAATAAAAATGATGAAAGTCACTAAACTGTACAAGCAAAAAACATTGAAAGGACAAATGTTTTGTTTTATATAGTTTTACCACAATAAAAAAGGAGCTCTGGTAGTGTAGTGGTTATGAATCTGGCTGCTAACCTCAAGGTCAGCAGTTCGAAACTACCAGCTGTTTCACAGGAGAAAAGATGAGGCTTTCTGCTCCCGTAAAGATTTACAGCCTCGGAAACCCTGTGCAGGGTCACTATGAGTCGGAACCGACTCCACGGTACCTAACAACAACAGCGACAATAAAAAAATAAAACAATGTGTTTAAGTCTAGCTCATAGACACTGTTAGAGAGATTAGTAATTATTGAGAGGTGTTAACGTCCTATTAGCCCCAAACTGACACTTTTTTCTTGCCTTACTCAGAATTGTAAGAGCACACTGATACGAATAATGTTCTCACAACTTCATGGAGTGTCTCCTGATGTAACAGAAATTTATCCCCCAGCCCACACTTGGAGACAGAGGAGGCAGTTGAGGCCTTAATACATCACAGTTGGGTCTGCAGACTGCCGGCTTGTTTTGGTATTAATAACAATCATTACAACAACGGGAGGAAGCCCCCCCGCTCACCTGTCGCGGAGCCTTGGACCCGGGGTCCCGAGGCGAGCGCAGGGCTCGAAGACTCCCAATCTACGTAAGCTGCAAGCACTCCTCCTCTGCCCGGCCTGGGTCGCTATGGCAACAAGGAACCGCAGCAAAGGAGCGGCCCCTTCCTTCCTGCTAAGAGGCTGAGCACTGGCTTTGTGAAGCACGCAAATCCTCCTAGTGGCTGGCAAGGACGTTTTTGGTTCTGGAGGTCAAGTGCCACCTTCTCTACAGCTTGGTGGCCGAGGCTGGTGGGCGAGCCGAGGATACCCCCACCCATACGGATTTAGGGTTCTCCAGGGCAAATATGATGCACAAAGCAGGTGGAGGTTGTGAGAGGTGGGGACGGGGAGAGGATTACAGACTTTTCTACCAGTTTGCAAAGAACAAGAGGCAACATTCTAATTCCTGTGGGGGCCTGGGACATCTGAGGCAAGCTATAGACCTTCTACTCATGGAAGATGCATACCGATTGAGGCCGAGCGGATTCATTCCGTATCATCGTGGCCCCCCAGAGACAAAGTACCACTGCCCCCATACGGTTTCCCAAGGCGGTTAGCTTTCTGGAAGCAGACTGTGTGGACTGCTTCGTTGGTTCTGCCCTAGCATCTTTTTCCAGTGCAGCCACAGCTCCGTTCGCCTCGGTCCTTTCTGTTAACAACTGAGCTCTTACACCGCGCCACCAGACCTCCTTTTTAGAAGATGCATACATTTTACAAAGATATTAACCAACTCAAGTCGCTGCTCAGCTAACAGCCTTCAATAGCGCCTTTTGTTAGAAAGTTTTTGCAGAGACCCCATGTGTCTTGTTCCCTCCCCACACATCCTTCCTCTTTGACCTTGAACCCTATTGCTCACAGCAGCTTCAGTGTACCTCAATCTTATGCTCCCTCCTTGCTATTCCTGGAAAATACAGAGCTCATTCCTGCCTCTGACCTTTTGGCTCTTTTCTCAAGCTGTGTGACAGGTGCCGAGTTATCTCTTCCTTCACATAGCAGCCTGGGATGTAAAGCTTCTGGATGCTCTAATTTAAACAACAAAAAATTTTTTTTATATAAACAACTACATGTTATAAATTTCCTTCTCCCTGGAATAGATCATGCTTGATAAAGAAGTTGTTGTTAAGTGTCTTCGAGTCGGTTCTGACTCATAACAACCCTGTATAATGTTTCCAAGGAGTTTAAACCGCCAATCTTTGTGCTTTATCCCACAGCACAACAGAGGGTCAGTGAAAAAGAGGAAGACCCTCAAGGGCTGACACAGTGGCTAAGACAATGGTCAGCACTGGACCCGGCTGTCTTCTGTTCTATTCTGTTCTACATGCGGTGACTATGAGTAGAAACCCATTCAACAGCATCTAAGAAAAACATATAAATTCTACTATAAAAATATATACTTACCAGTTCCGTTCCTTGTTTCTAGTCTGTCTCTGTGGAATGAAAGCAAGATTTTTTTTCTTCCCTTCCAACTTTTAATTATGAAAAATTTCAAACACACAGACAAGTTTAAATCACAGTACAATGAACACCTACTGCAACTTCTGCCTAGCGCCAATGATTACTGGCATGTTGTCATTT